CGTTTATCCGAATCAATTGGGGACTGGGGTAGTTCGGATAACTTATTTTTCGGATAACGAATCATGTACGAAAAAATATATTAATTTATCCCATGTTGAAATTTCTCTCCGTTGCGTGTCGCTTCGCGTTGAATTTTCGTCGATGTTAACCCTAACGAAGACTATTGTATCATTAAAAACTTTTTTTTATTTTGTACAAACAAAATAAATTTATTGAAAAATATAAAAACAATAAAAAATTATATTTCAGATGTTAATTTAGTATCAAAAACGTAAAATATTTGAGTAGCCCAAGACAAAGCCAAAGATTGAAGCGCCACAGCACTGGCGAAAATTTAAATTTGCCGACTGGAATTCTTTCGGATGATTGACTTTCGGAAAATCGACGCTCTACTGTATAATTTTTTTTTATTATTTCACATAAACAGAGTAGTTTACTTTTAAATTTGTCAATTTAATTCACATCTCTGAATCATGTTCTTTCTACACTTTTGTTTCCTATACCACAATAACTGATCAGAAGGAGCTTGGCAAAGTTTGCCTTCCCTAGATATATGGTACCTAACCTAACCTAAAGGTAAGCACCTAGCTCATTCAGGGTTTTTCTTTGCTGATTTCCTCCTGTGGGAACCAAGAGAACCCACAATGAGGTGGCTGGATGGCATGGGATGAAGTCTAACATACTTGAGACAAACCAGCTTTAAGAAGTTCCTGTGGTTTTGCAACTGTGAGAGGCCAGACTTGACAGAAAAATTTTATTCGAAAAAAAAAAAAAAAAAAGATTGTTATGGATATGATTATATCCTTTCCCGCGGACTTGTTTCCTTGTTTGAGGGCGACACATGTCACTAGGAATCAAATGCAAAAATTGCCATTGGACATGGAGGACAATTTTACAAAAAAAAGATAAAAGTTGCAAGGGGAAACCCCCAAATAAAGGAGAAGGCTGATGATGCGACAGAGAGTTCATTCATCCTCGGAGGTTGGTTGTGTGTGTACACTCGAATAGACTTCACCACTGATGTTCCTCCAATAGCTAGCGATCAGAAGCTTAACCACCGATAGCCAATGACCCAAGTACCCACGAAGGACGTGTCTCTACCAAAAAAGGATCCAAATCAAGAGAGCAATCTTCAGGTAAATACCATGTGCAAACATTTGTAAACCCTCTCTCTCTCTCAAAGCATATGTGTAACTAGTTTATATAATCAATAAACAGATATTATTTTCTATAATCGAATTGAAAAGTGTACTTCTTTGCATAATCAGTCTCCATCCTGAGTCCAACCGCCCACAGATGCGACCACTCGTGCGTAAAGGCAAACATATGGTCTCTGTGTCTACCCTGAAGACACAGTGGTGTCAGTCCTGACAAATTAGTCATTGCAGTCTTCATTGATGCAATGTCGAACCTTTGGTCCTGTGATGCCTAAGCACAGGGGCGCTTTGCACATTGTCACACAACCCATCCAGATTCATTTTTAAATTCCCAGAACAGGAGGCCAGTACTTATTGCTCAGTCATCTAGCAGTCATATAAGAATATTTTGTCATATCTTTGATTGAGAATAAGCCAACCAATTAAAATGACCCTTCTCACCCAATGAAGATATATTTTTTATTCTTCCTGTGCAACAACCATAACTGCCACTCGTTAGCAGAATGGCACTTTAATTAAGGAAGGTCTTGTCAAAGTTACACCCACAACTCACTATTTGCTTCCAAGCACACCCTCTTTCTCTTGGGTACAAGTGTTTACCAGTTGGAAGACAATAGCAAAGAGAGGAAATAGTAGTAACAAGATTGTTATAGTAAAGTAAAAATTGTAGAAATTCTTTCACCATGGAACTGACAGAAAAGCAATGTGAAACTGAAAGCTTGATATTACAAGGTTCGTTATAATGAGATTTGGTATTTTTGTTTTATCCCAATATCAAGTAAAACAGTGTCATGCTGCACTGTTTTATTGCTTATGAAATGAGGAAGGCTGATTGCATTACAATTTCAAATAAAGAATATTAAAATTTTAGAAACAAATATATATATTTATATTTAATATTAAAATTTATTAATTGTTTTAAAAATATTTATTTTGTAAATAATCTACTTCTATTTGTTGGCAAATTAATTGATGGGTTTGGCATTTCAGGTTAGATGTACTTTAAGAAAATAACATATTTGTTCACTTTGTATAAGAAGGAAGATTTTATTCATATTATGGTACATTACATTCCCAATGTTTATTTCAAAAATGTAATCATGTTAAGGTGTCAAATCAATTCTTACATGCAATTTTGGACTAATACATGAATGCACAAACCAAAGATTAGTTTTGTCATTTAAGTTTCTCCAGCAATTTTTAAATGTGAATTGTTATTCTAAGTGAATGAAAGTATGAAAAATTGCATTAAATTGTCATTCAAGTAGTAATAAGAAAATGTTTTAATGTAACAAAATAAACAAAAAGTATCTAATTATGTTTTTAAAAATTTGTTTTGGTTATTTCCAAATAAAATTTGATTTTGAATAGTGTGCTTTCTTGAATAGATGAAAAATGGCACAATATCAGCATGCAACTTGCGGGAAAAAAAACCTGAGATTCTATTGTAATAAATAATTTCCTACCCTCTTCAGAAACAACTTCACTTTTTATTTCTTCAATAAGCTGCTTCTTTTTTTTGGTAGGTTTAGTTTCTTTAGATTCACAGTCTATAAAAAATATAAAATTATTTACATTCTAACAATGTTTGATTTAAAAATAAAAAAAAAAAAACTTATAATTACCCTCAATTTTTATTTTCTTTACAAATGGTGAAGCACCTGTTCCACTATCATCAAGCTTTCTTTTTTTTGACTGAGATGGTAAAGTTGAATCTTGCGAAACATCATATTGAAAGACTTGACTAGAGAAAGATATTAAAATTTTGTATTTCTAATTATAAATATGTACAGAATTCCTTTTAATTAATTAATATGAATATAGTCGTATTTACATGCATGCCTATATCAATGAAATAAAGAAATAATATTTATAAAGAATACCTTTTATTCTCGTATTTCTCCCATTTGGCACGTGCTTTACCAGAACCACTGATCTGTCTTACCTATAACACAAGTTAACGTTTAGCAGTTGCATTATTTAAAAACTTTCTAATTTTTATAAATTTCTTACTCCTCCTTCCTCCAAAAGTCTTAATCTGGCTTCAAGTTTGGCTTTATGTTCTGCACCTAACTCGAAACTAATGTCTTCACCAAGAGCATCAACCCTGCAAGCTAATGAAGATTTTGCTGCCAACATTCTTGACATCTGAAAAATTATTAAAATAGATTATCCTATTGAAATTTTATTATTAAAAAAATCTTTTATTAAACATTTTCTAACCTTTCCTTTAAGTTTAGTATTGGTTTGACCAACCAATTGGGCATGATAAATTAAACCATATTTTGGAGTATCGTGTTTAGTTTTCAAAGCTCTAAAGAGGGCTTTTTCAGCCCCAAGAATTTGAACAGTGGAAGCAGGATGTTTTGCCAAATTTATTAATGATCCTGAAAAAATTCAAATATATCATAACTAAATAAATAAAAGTTAATGAAATCAAATATGCAATATATAAAAATAATGAAAATTATCTTCTTATATTAAAATTTCTACGACATATGTTGTTTAGTTTATAAGATAGTTTATGTGAAGATTCGAAAGTAACAAATTATTTTCTTAATAAGTTAGAAATTTGATGAAATAATCAATAAGTTAAAGTAATATTTTAACGTTAAAGTGACACATTTGTCACCTTATTTGGAAGAGACCTGTGTGGAAGGGAAGTGAAACTTCCTTTTTCTAAGGTCTTATCATACATCACTGTAAAACATGTCATTTGAGTCAGGTTGAATATCCTGTGAGACATCAGTTTATCTCATCAGATGATACGAATCAATCAGTAAGATTGGAGGAATTTCCTCATAAAAGGGCAAATTCTCATTATTCAAAGTCGTCATTGTCACCTCGAATAGGAACTAATAGTCGAGACGACCATGGGAAGGACAGGCCTAGAAGAGAATCATAGCTGAGGACAGCGATAGCCACATAAAAGTCCTATCTCACTAACAGTCCACCCTCCTCCAACTCCATATCATCAGTATAGAAACAACCAAAGGTATTATTACCCTATATTATTGTAAACTCTTTCATAGTTAGAGGTGAAATTTGTTCATTTAGTTTATAGTTTATTTCATTTTGTTCCAGATATCTATTAAATTCTGTGTTTTGTAAATGCTTCTGTCTACTAATTCAATTTCTACAAACCCTGATCGAACTTACCCGCAACTTCCCTCCCCACTTGCATTTAAGACCCTCCTATACTTTTAACATCCTTCGATGCCATGAGTTTTAACATCCTTCGATGCCTTCTAACCATTGGATCTTACTGATCCAATGATTAGAAGGTATGATACCTTTGCATGTGTTCTCATATCTATAAGATATTTTGTTTACAGAACAATGTCCTTAAGCTTTCTCCCATAGGAAAAACATTGAAAATTTGCAACAGTGTGTGCTAATGATGAAAGAAGTATAGCTGTAAATAAAGAACTGAGGTGTTTCTCAGAAGGACCAGAAAATAATTCTGTATATTTTGGGCACTAAATAATCTGCAAAAACATTTAAACCAGTGATTCCCAAACTTTTTCGATCCATTGCCCCCTTTGTTCCATAAAGTTATACCCAACGCTCCCTAACCCATTTTCTCTTGTGTGAGAAAGGATTGGAAATATTCTTAGGAAAACGTTTCTATGAATCTCACACTTTGTGTCCTTACCATACATTGTTCTCAACATCTGGAAACCATTAAACTCAAAGTTTCCTCTTATCAGTTTAACAGAGGAAAGGGAACGGCTTTCAGTGACCCCAATTTTGCCTTTGGTCACCATTCAATATCCTGCCTCCAGCGCCCCTAGATTTACTCATCACCCACAAGGGGGCGTTATTGCCCACTTTGAGAAACGCTGATTTAAACTGTTGATGGACATAGCACACCAAGATATTTTATAAAGACAAGTGTCTGAGGTTGTAGCAACTTACAGACTGCCAGATCATTATGTCATGCATAGCTGACAGACATGTCAATCACCAAAAAAATAATGGTAAAGTAAAAAATTGCTGTGCATATGCATGCAAGCATGTGAAAATTTTGTGTGACTGCATGAGTAAGGTGGAAATTTTCACAGCAGTTTTTGAGAACCTGTGATAAGTGAAAGATCTTTTCAACTAAAATTTTTCCATGATATCCTCATGCTGTATGCTATGCATCTGGGTAGTATGTAGCATGAGCATGAAGATATGAAACCACAGCTAATTAAATCAATTCAGTGAAAAATGCCTCTAATAAAGCTAACAGGGGTGAAAAATTGCCACTTTTTCAGATTATTGTGGGTTAAACTTTATTTTAGGCTTCTTCAGTTCAACCTGTTTAAATATCTCTCAACTAAATAAGCCTAAAATAAAATAGGTGAAAGTATTCTTAGTGTATAAAAAGTTTGTAACTTGTTCTTTGTGTAATGTATTAATTTATACAAATTGTTCTGACAATACTTTTTAGAACTGTTGTGTAGCATAATTTAAACTATGCTGCACTACAACATTAGTATTTGTATAAACAGTAAAAATCTGAACTCATAAGTAATCATTACATTTTAATAACAACATCATTATTACTTTTTCTGTTAAACACTGTGGAGAAATAATCAAAGTTCCATCTATTTTTCTGATTATTGAATATATTTAAAAAATTAAAAATTATTACTACTAAACAATATCAATCTTGAAAAATGTAATAATTCAATTAAAAATTATATAAAAATGCCTGCATATACTAGGTGCTACTCAAGTCCCTTGCCATAACAACCATTTACACTGCTACATATAAATAATGTTTTTTATTGATAAATATATGCATAAAAACTCCCTACTAAAAGAAAAAAAATCCAGTTTCCTGTTGTATAAAAAAATTTACATTCTTTGCATTGCAAATGGCTGCTATGTTGAAGAACTTCTAAATCATCTGTTACATGAAATAAATCAATATTTTTGTTTGTTTATAATTTAAAAAATTTGAAAATCATATCTAAGAAATATTAGAAAGTTTCAACATTGTCCAAAGTTGTTCTTTTACTATATTTTCGTGAATATTAGACACTACAGATCACATGATTATCAGTAATAATATTAAATCTAAATTAGTCAATGATTTAATAATTTGAACTACATCATATTTTAATTTAAATTTTATTTGACATATAAATGAATATAACATCAAAGGGAGAAGATAAAACAAAAATTCTTTTAGCTCAAAACATCTAATTCCATTAACAACTTGTTAAATTTTAACAACTCCAAAAAGTTGGAATAAGAATTACCAGACAACATTCTTATGTACTCCCTGTACATGTTATTTCTACATTTACAGAACATGTGACAACACCAGACGCTGTAACTACATAATTGATTACAAATTATACACACCAAAGAAAAACAAACTTCTTGACATAACACAATTCAGCCTCAACCTTGCTATTTGTTTTTTCACCACAATAGAGAGTCCACCATCCCTTAGAGCTGCCGCAAACTAGCGCTTTGCGAGAGCAAAATGCTAGCGAACATGCGCTAGCACAACCAATGACATCGAAGGCTCCGCCCTTTTCTTCTTGCCCGCGCTGTTTTTCCTTCGCTAGCGCAGCGATACGAGAGTACGCTCGCTGTTCACAAAATTCAACAACTAGAGCATTTACCCTAGCAAGAGAGAGCGGGGAAGACGGATGACTACATAAACATGTCACATATCAAAAAAGAAATAATAGAAATTTATCGATGTACGTAAATTACATGATTAATACATTCAGTATTGAAAAGAAAATAGTATAACCATTGTATGTAAATAGTAATATACAGTATAAATAGTTTTGGGCTAGTTAAGTATAGGTTATAATAAAATCTTGTTCTATAGCCAATCTACATCTGTGGAATCCACGTCATGTGATCTACGTTACACAAGCAAACGTTGTGTAGTTTGCGGCTGCTTCGTGCCTGCGTAGCTTACCTAGCAAAAATGGCTCATAGCATCATGGGAAAAAAGGCAGGGCTTAGGAGCGCGAGCGAGCGTACGCTAGCTCCCGCATTCTGTAGTTTGCGGCGGCTCTTAGTCTGCCATGCCAAAATTGGGCTTTACCTTACTATAATAGCATAACAACCCAGAATTATTCAACACATTCCTCATTTCTTGTAGTTCCAATTCTATACATCTCAAAACTATGGATGGTATTCGTTCTTTCCATCTATCAATTTGTTTCTCAATAACCATATCATTAAATCCCATTCACTCCAGTCAATGTTTGAAATCTAACCATCATGATTTACTCTCCACCTTCATCCACATTCTTTCCATGCTGATTCTAGGTAGCCTGTCTCTAGATAATTCCAGTATTCTTACATAGTACTTTAGAACTGCTTTTGTAAAAAGATATTCAATGGTACCATCCAGTTTCCCATAAAACAGCAACATTTGATGCATGAAATCTGAGGCCCAATATTTTCTTCAAAAATTCTCTATGAACTAACTCAAAATTATTAACATTGGGCAAACCCCAGACCTGAGTGCCATAAGAAATAACAGATTTAACTGTTGAATCAAATAACCTGAAATGTGGAGAATACGAGACTAACTGAGATATTAAAAATTTTACATAATTTCGACAGCTTTAGCTTTCCTCACAGTAATCTCAAGTGGTCTTTCATATTAAGATTACACTTAGACCAAATACCCAGATACTTGTATTTTTCAGCTATTTCAATTACTTCATTATCCAAAAACCATTTAAGTTTGCATGATCTTTTATTGCTATTTTGAAAAACCATTATCTTAGTTTTTTTAATATTAATCTGCAAGTCCTTATCATTTGAAAAGCTCAACAGACCATCAATTGCCAACTGCAATTCTAACAGGCTGTCAGCCACAATCACCACATCATCTGCATACAACAGATCCTTAATGTAGGTATTGTTTCCTAACCATCATAAATCATTAAACTTTAAAATTTCATTCAATCTATTAACCAAACCATCAATATACCAGGTTGTTCAATAAGTTTTGTTGTTCAATAAGAAAAACACAATTTTATGGTTTGAAACACATTTTATTATTCAATATAATCTCTCTGAACTTCAATACACTTGTTCCAGTAATCTTCTAATTTATGAATTCCGTCCCTGAAGTGAGAATCCGGAAGACTGTCAAAACATGCTTCCACAGCTGCTATTACCTCTTCATTCGATGAAAATCATTTCCCACACATGAATTTTTTGAGATGCAAGAACAGCCAGAAGTCAAAGGAAGCTAAATATGGCAAATAGGGTAGGGTGGATGTTGCAACAATTCATACTTTAATCCACTGATTTTCACAATGGTCTTTTGAGGTGTGTGAGAGGGTGCATTGTCTTGATAAAAAAAAATTTTTTTTTCTTCTATAAACCAGATCTTTTCTCACAAATTTTTACATCCAGCTGGTCAAAAAGGTTACAATAATAATCTGAGTTTATTGTTTTACCAGTTTGGAGGTAATCCACGAACAAAATTCCTTTTGCATCCCAAAAAAACTGATGCTAACACATTGGTCAATTTCTGCACCCTAACTCGCTTTGGAGCTGAAGTACCGGGTTCACACCACTCCTTAGCCTCTTGTTTTGATTCAGGATCATCGTGGTAGACCCAAGTCTCATTCATAGCAATGAAACAACACACAAAATCCTTTTTATCCTTTCTAAAGCATTCCAAATGCTGAGAAAGTCGCATTTGAATGTGTTTTTGTTCCATTGTTAGTGAATACAGCACACATTGTGCACACAGCTTTCTGTAACCCAAAACTTCAGCCAAAATATTGCTCACACAGCCTAATGAGATCGCTAGGGCTTCTACTAAATCTATCTTGGTTAATCGACGATCTTCCAAAACCATATGCTGTATTTTTGCTACGATTTCTAGTGTTGATGCACTTTCTGGATGTCCTTCACCTGGATCGTCTTCAAGACTTGTACGACCACGTTTTAATTCAGCATCCCATCTTCTACTGTTCTAATTGAAGGTGAAGAATCCTTATACACTTTTAACAATCGTTCATGAATTTGTTTTGGTGCTACACCTTCCAAAAATAAGAATTTTATCACTGCACAATATTCAATATTTTCCATTGTAAAAAAATACAGTGACACGTTAACTTTGAACAGCTGTAAATATACAAATGAATTGACAGATCTACATGAAACTTCACACTTGTTCATAAAAAAGTAGTACTATTTTTAGAGAAATAAAGCCGCAAACCTATTAGCACCATCTCTTATTGAACGACAAAACTTATTGAACAACCTAGTATAGAGAAAACAATAATGGACTCAATGGACATCCCTGCCGAACACCTTTGTTACAGTAAAAGGATTCTGAAGAAGTTCCATTAACCAACATAAATGCTGATGTGTTCGTGTACATCGATCTTAGTAGATTTACTATTTTGTAACTTAACCTCAAATCAGAAAGTCTCCATAATTTCAGATGATTCACTGAGTCGAATGCAGCCCTAAAATCCACAAAACAAGTATACACTTTTTGACGTTTTTTTGCAAGCCTTTCTTTTAACAAATTCCACAAAACAAATATATGGTCCACTGTAGAATACCCTTTGCAGAAACCCACTTGCATCTCTGAGAAGATTTGCTCACTCTCTACCCATAACAACAGCCTTTTACACAGGATCATTGAGAAAATTTTTACGAACAGTATTCAACAGCGCTATTCCTCTATAATTATTTTTATTGTTTACATCTCCTGATTTGAAAATGGGGAATATTCTTGCCATTTTCCAGCTATCAGGAAATATTCCAGTTACCAAAACTTCGTTAAAAATGTTCAACAGTTTCTGCCATAGTTGTTTGTCAGCCAACTTCCAACATTCCATCAGAATACCATTCAGGCCAGCCGCTTTACCTGACCTTGCCTCTCTCAAAATAGAATCTAGTTCTTCATGAGAAATATCCATATCTAGATAACTTATAGATATCGTCTCTAAGCAAACAATTTCATTAACTAGATTATCACTGAACAATAAACTTTTGAAGTGCAAAAAGAAATCAGTTTTAATCTCCTCCAAAATAGAGTTTCTCCTACCTTCCAGTTAACGGATACACTCCCAGAACGTTTGACGTTTGACTAGACTTACAGTTTGAAAAGAGTTGATTAAAACTAATCAGATATTCCTGTTTTTTTACTTTTACAAAGCGCACTGAAATTTTGCTTCAATAACAGATATTCTTTTAATCTCCAGTCCTTTCCAAGTCTCCTCAATTTCCTCAATTTATTTTTCAAATTAACCTTTTGTTCCAAACACTCATTGTCAAACCACCCTTAATTATATCTAGAGAAGCACTTAATTCCTTTTTCATTGTGTCTAAATTTCTCCACTATACCGGACACTATAACAGTAAGTTCATTTAATTCACTCATTCTATCATCAAATTGCCTGTCCCAATCCTAACAAACACCTTGTATTTCACTTACAAATGCCTCATGCCATTCCTTCTTGCAACAACTATTAAACTGAACCGGTTGTCTAGCATAGCCCTTTTTTCAGCCCTTTGGCAGAAATTTCTAGATGTAACATCATATGATCAGATTCAATACAGTCATCTATACCAAAATGCTTTAAATTCTCAGCTGCCAAACCATTTATACACAAATAATCAATTACACTTTTACCCAAATGTGAGATAAAAGTACATTTTCCCTGTAATCCTCCTTAACTCGACCATTCACAATCATCAGACCTTTTGCTTGGCATAATTCCACTAACTTCAACCCAATCTTGTTGATACATTTATCTTCTGAACTCTGGTAAACACTATAATCCAACAAGGGGAAAACACCACCTTCCCACTCCATTTCATTCAAAGTTCCAATTCTACCATTAAAGTCAACCAATAAATATATCTCCTCACTTTGAAAAGAATCAATGTCTCAAGAAACTTATAACATTTAACATAAACTTCTATTCTAATATAAATAAAAATAAACTTAATGTTTTTCCAGTGTATTTCAAATAATCAATCTTCAAAGGGATGCACCACCACATCTTTTGAGTTCTTTATTAATCATCAATACCATCCCACTTCTTTTTTGCACTTTATCAAATAATCTAGTAGCATTAATCTTGTAAAAGTTGTATGCATTACATCAATTGGTGGCTTTCTTGAATCAAATTCACCTAACCAGGTTTCCATCCAGCATAAAATATGAAACTTTCTCACTATATTCCAATACTCCATTTCATATTCCTGTTTCCATCCATTTATGTTCCAACTAAGAACTTTTAATGTATCATGCTTACTCCTAAAAAAGAATCACTAACACAACCATCCTCATCTTTATTCCTGGGAACCCTACAAAAGTTTTCAGTTACCACCAATTTATCACCTCTAAAATATGCAATTTTTCCTTCTTTTCTGGCCTGTCTTAAAATATCCATCTCTCTTTCCTCTTCTCCCTACATTCAACAGAAAGATCCTATCTTATACACACTGCCTTTCTCCAGTCAGAGACATCCAATTTATTACAATTACTCTTCCAACTTTTCAATATTTCTCTTTTCACTGCCAAAGAAATGCAAGTAACCAAAACCATCAAATTGTTACTGTATTTTTTAAGTCTAACACAATCAACGACATTCGATAAACCGATAACTTCCCTGATTAGCTTCGATACTGTATTGAATAAATTTTCTCTATCATTCATCTCCAAATTAAATAATATCATATTTTTTTTCCTTAGATTATTTTCAAGTGTATTAACTCTTTTAGATAAACCAGTAATAACCTGCATATTGCTACAGTCAATTCTGAAGTCATGAACAGACTCTAATTTATTAATTCTCTCCATCAATATATTAACCATATCATTCATTTCCATGAAATTGTCTTTTATTAAACGCAATTCCGTCTCTATTTTTAATTCTATAGCATCCTTCATTTCACTCAAAATACCTCTTATCTCTTCTAAAAATAATTCTTGATCCAAATTCTTCCTAGTATCTCTCACTTTAACAGCACTTCCGGTGGAGCAAGAATGCAAATGTTTACCTGAAGGTGTTCTTGATAACATAACTCTTCTTAAAAACTTCTTTTTCTTTGGCACTATCCCAATTTACAAACTCCTTTGATTAAATGAACTTATCCATAATAAAGGACAATTTTTCAAGACATCCATGATAAGAGCAACTCCACATCAAAACATGCCGACAGCCATGGCAACAGCAACGCCTCCCTCGATTATTGAACTTATAATTTATATATTGTTTCTACTCTAGTTTTAATACAAATATATTAAAATGATTTAAAAAACTTACCAGCATGAGCTATTAATCTAGCTCCTACTATTTCTCCTACCAAAACAGTCAAATTTGGAGCAATTGCCATCATTCGATTCTTTAGATATTCATACAACTGACTTCTGTACGTCTGCATTTCTTGAATCTAAAATGAATTATATTTCGATTAATTTAAGATGTATCATTCATATTATTTCTTAAAATAAAGATAAATACAGGGTTCCTACTCAAATTTTTGTTTTGAATTCCCTGACTTTCCCTGACCAACTTTGTCCAAATTCCCTGACCCTCACATTTCTTAGTGTGGAATATCAATATAATAAAACAGCATTTACTGTGAACATTGAGTACATCTAGCCCTCTTTTTGCACAGTGGATATGATTCAAAGACTGCCACATTAAAAAAATACAGTACATACATCCTGTAGAAAAATGTTTGATATCCACAACTTCAGTGTAATGAAAAAATAAGCAATTTACAAACAAAACAGAAGCTTTTTATTTTATCATCATTTATCATTATTATTTGTACGTAAATCTAGTAAATACAAGGTAACATAAAATCAACAAACAGTATTCTTTGATAAACAAACAGTACTGTACTGTGCATAAAATGAACTCGACTTAGAAACACATAATTTTAAAATCAATCTTTCAACAAAAAGAGTAACTTTTTTAAACAGCAACGTAATTTTAACAAAAAGTTAAATTTAAAAATTTTTAAATAAAGCATTTTTCCTACATAAAAAAAATCAATGATTGTACATAAAGAGGAATAGATGTAAGTTTATACTATAGCTTCTCTAACAAATGCATCTAATTTATTGTAAGATCTTTTTATTTTTTTACAAAATGGACAATCAAAATACAGAGAAATCTTCTTAGTATTAATCCTCTTTTTTCAAAATACAGATAATTAGGAAATAAATGAATTACAATTCACAAAACACAAAAACTATTATATTAATGTAGTTTTAGCCTTTTCTCCTCAAGTATATTTACTTTCATTTTGATCTCTTTTTCTTCCTTTTCATGATCTTTTCTTAGCATTTTCTTGTGTTGTTTTAAATCCTTAAGTTATTGTGTAAGTTTTCTTTTTTCTTCAGCCCTTAATGACTGCTGCTTCTGAATATCTTTTTTCTGTTGCAGAGATGCAATATATCGCTGTCTAGTTCCTCTGACTGTTCACAACATTTTCTGGTCTATATTTATTTGATCAATACCACCTGCAAAATGGATCCCATCATAAACTAAGTGATGAGCAATTAAACTTTCTTCCTTAAGATTTTCACTCAATAGTGATCTGTTAACCGAGAAACCACTCTCAACACTTACATTCCCATGTGAGAAAGAAAAAGAAATTTTGATAATAGACCATAGATCTTGCAGTTGCCTATCATTCTTCATAATTTCACAATAAAATGTGTCCAGACCATCATCATCACTCCTTTCAGATAAGAAGTCCTCAAACTTTGTAGAATAGGGTTTTATGGACACTTTATTGCTGAGTATATCATGCTGTTGTTTTGCTTTGACAGCACATTTCTCATCAATCCTGTTTGTATCATGTAGAACCTCCAGTAAAGCATTGAAATACAATTTTTCAACATTTGATTGCATTTTAATAATTTCTGGGTCTAAGCTGCTCAAAGCTTTCACACATTTGTACTTGACAGGTCCCTTCTCAATAATCTTTTGTGTCATCACTTTCAGCTCATTTCGACAATCTCTTAGAAAACACAGAATATCTTTGTCACTTACTTTCAATTCTTTTAAAATCTTTTTTGCTCCAAAACCAATATCCAAATTCTTCAGAGGTACCAAGTTTTCATTAGAATTTAAATCTATTTTTAGAAACTGCTTGTCGGTGACTTTGTCATTTTTCACAAACTTTCTCATCAGGTTCATTAATATTTGAACAACTGCTTTATAAAGATAGGGTGCAAGAGGTTTGTTGCTCTGAAATTGGGTGAGAAAGCTCTCACTTTGTGTACATATAGACCGAAAAAATAAAAGTTTAACTTTAATAAAGGTATCATTGAGTGCCTGTCTCAAGAATGTAGCCAACTTGCTGTCTTTCAACTTTGTACTGTTGTTTATGTATGTCTTCACAGATTCAACAACTTCTGCTGCACGTTCTAAGCACTCACCATTCTCCAACCACCTTGTTGAACCAAACTTTTTGGGAAATAATCTGCTTCCACTTATAGCAATGTATTTGGCACGCTGAGTGGGTGAGTCTTTTAGCAAGTAGTACAAATTCCGTAGCAGTGGTAACAAATTCCAATCTACTACTTTAAAACCAGCTTTTACAGCACCATGGACTACATGTTGTAAGGAACCAAGTCCGAGCATTATTTTTATTTACTTTTATTTTGCTTTTATTATATTTTTGTTTGGGGCTTATGTTTAGTTAGGACGAAGGTTTCTTCACCCGTCACCTTAGAAAGTTAAAAAGAGAAGATAAAACCAACTCACCGACAAAAAAAGAAAGCGCCATAGCTCAACACTCGCACTCACGTGCACGCCCGAGTGGCAGAGAGTAAGCCCACACTGAAAGGGGGGGAAGACCCCACAGACTTTTAGGAACTTGTTAAACCTTAAAGGAAACATCCCGATAATTGTTCAACAAAATACTGTAAAAGGTTAACAAAGTATTGTCGGGAATTAAGCTACCAGATAAGCAAGAAAAAAAGATAATGTTACATGTAAGTATGTAAATGAGGGGAGTGTCTCACTTAGAAACTGTGACGTCACCTCAGACTATAAATAGCGTAGCTCAAGTGAAGACAGCAGAGGTGAGCTCCTGCAAAGAATAAACGTTGGTGTGCTAGTATCAGTGAACGAGGTGTCCAGTAGGAAAATAGTCCAAGGCGATTGCAGTATTCGATTTGTGGATCAAGGATAGACAAAGTTTTGAGTTGAGAAAAAGGTTCCTAGTATAATTGAGGTGACGGTTAGGATTTGTAGTTAGAAGAAATTTTTTACCTAAGTTAAGGATTGATTTTTGTCGGAATTCCAAGGGGAATAGTTCTAAGTTAGAATTAGATTGAGTTTTTGTCAGGTTGACTGTGGATTTGATTTTATTGAATAAATTGGTTGATTTGTTGTAAATATTGTAATTAGTTATTTTTAGATCTTTATTAAACATTTTATTGATTTTGACTAACTTTGTCCTTAATTTACTTCGGTGCACGCAAAAAGTCCAGGCCTGGCAACAATAAACGCAAACCCGCGCAAAGTACCCGTTAGGTAACGGCTCTTGCTGATACAAGAATTGTTGTAGAGTGATCTGATAAAATAATTGTACTTTACAATGTAAACCACATGTTCCCATTCTCACAAATGATTTACCAACATTCTGTGTCTCCATGTGATCTTCTAATTTATTCAGAAAACTTATGTTTACATTTGGTCCGTCCATACAGATATGAAGAATTTTTGCTAGATCAAGATGAATGTCTGAAAGACCATTGAGAAATGCGGAGAGAAGATCATCTGCTGTACTATGATCCAGAAAGATACTATTTAAATATCTGGTCATAACCTTATCTTTACTCTTGTCCCAGTATTTTATCACAAGATCCATTTGAGTTCTTTGAGCAACTTTGTTTAGTGATTCGTCAAAGGAGATATTAATATTATTGCAACTTGTAACAGCATTAATCAATTTTTCTCTGAAATAATGGGCTAGGCCATAATTTATTATATAGGAAGCTTTATCTGGACCCAATTGAAATTGCATGGCTATAGCACTGTCAGGAAACATTTTCAAAAAAATGTTTTTAATATCAGAGCATGAATTGAGTGACATCTTTTTCTTTACAACTGCCAATGACTAAGTTATCTCTGCTTTTATTACATCATCTTTTATCACAAAAGATGTCAATGTGCTGCTAAGAAATGTTGATTTGGTGAGACTGTTTGTTAGTGATCTTAGATCTATCTTCCACAACAGAAGTCATTTCACACACATTTTGTTGACTATTAAAAAAGTTTGAATATGTTGGGGTTAAAAATCTCAGTGAAGTTTGTTCCAACAAGACTAGAACTAGAACTATTTGCATGTGATACTAATGCACGCTTTCCCATATTACTTAATGAGAAAACTTTACAACAAATGCAGCAAAATGCTTTTGTATCATCATCTTTTACAGTTCCTAACCAGGAATTGAATTCTGGATGAATAGCTGGATCCAGCCATTGGAGATTAAACCTCGTTTGTTTCCGTGCCATTATAATTTAAGAATGTAGAAAAACACAAACCTTGAATAATAATATTAAAAGACAGATGAACCAGATCAGATAGCAATGTGTAAGACATTTTGTCACAACAGTACGTAAAATATTCAAACGACATCCAATCCGCATCTGCATATATATTAATTAAAAGTAGTGTTGCCAACTCAAAATTCAAATTTACAGCTAGACATTTTAATAAAAATAACCAAATCATATTGTTTCCATTAGAATTGTTTGATTTTTTTAGCTAGATTGTTCATAAATCTACTAAATCTAGAAAAAATAGCTGAATTGCAACTCATTAAAAGAAAAAAAGTTTCGTTGCCGCCATTTCGATTTCGGTTTCAGTGTAAAAGCCAGAGTTTTAATAATTATTTTTAATAATTTTTATTTATTATTTACTTAATTTTGCCTTAAATTTCGTCTTTGCATAAAATTTTCTTAATGCAGACAAAATTTATTTATTTTAACCCTTAATTACAATTCTTATAATTATTGCAAATCATATCACAAACCATCTTTCTAACTTTTATAACAAATTTTAATTAAATGAACCAATGTTTTCAGCCATCTTAAATAGCCTTTCTCGGGTTTAACATAATTTCAAACGTCAATTGCGACTCCTTCCCTTTGGGAAAATAAAGGAGATAAAGATAATTCTCCTAACGTCAGGAAAGTCGAGGGACTAATAAGTATATGGGAAACATGGTACAGATGGACAAAGACACCTCTTTACCATTTAACCTGTTTATTGTACAAAAATGCTTACAATATAGTTAAAGTTGTCTTCGTTTTTCATCTTAAGTTCGTAGCAGCATTGGTGGAATCCGGAGCAATGTTCAGTGAATGATCCGGAAAGGAAAGTTCATTTGATTTCCATCCAATGTCTAGCATAATGTAAATCACTCATTTGTCCTGAGTTTGAAAAGTCCTCCTTTTGAAAGGCAACTGTTAATTTGTGGAAGGAAAAGGCAGCAGCGGCAGTGAAATAGCGGAGATAAAGTGTGAGGAAAAGGCAAATGACCAGAGGCGATTGATGACAATGGTTACAGAAGAGATGACTTTCGACAGCCTCGTGTCCTCAAGACACCAGCTTTTATCACCTTCCTGTCCCACGATCATTCCCTGGATTGGTTTCGGACCTTCACCCACGCTTTGTGATGGGGATTAATTAACCTTTTTACATTACCATCTGTTGCGTATCTTAAAAACAGTTATTGCAAATATAATGTTTAAATGTGCATAATTATATGGATAGGATAGATAGGGTGTGACCCATATCCTATTTCTGAGATCAAAGAATGTTTCAATGAGAAGAAATAAAACTCATATTTAATCACTAAGCCTTCTACCCTTAAGCCCTTGAAAGCCTCCAGCGCCCGCAAGGGAGTGTTATCGCCAACTTTGAGAAAGGATGGTCTAGACCAGGGGTGGCGAACCTATGGCACACGTGCCCAAAGTGGCAGGTAAGGAGAAATCATCTGGCACGTAATATATCATACGATTTCTGTCTTTTTCAATCATGTTTTCGGTTTATCACCTGATCATCCTTTTTTCAATCAGTTTTTTTACATTTATTCTAATTAAAGCGTATTCGTTTAATTTCTTTAAATATCGTTATTCGAAGTCTGAAACTTTGGCACGCATAAACATCTTTAAAGCTAAGTATGCTTACAATATGGCACGCGAACACAAAAAGGTTCGCCATCCCTGGTCTAGATTATTCCTCAAGTTTCTATAAAAAAATTTCTGTTCATTCCTTTTTTCTCTAATAATTAAATTATTTTACATTTTTCTATTTTAGTGCGTTCAGGGATAATTCCGGAACCTCACACTTGTATTCCTATGACGTCATAGAATTATGAAAATTGGGATTCTTAAAACTTATAAAATAAAATAAATACAGAAATAAACATCAAATGAAATTACAATTATACGTTATTAAAATATAGAAGTTCAGCACAGAGAATTGTAACTACAAATCTCTTTCTTTTGCAATATAACTATAAAAATTGTTTTGTTGTTATTTCGAACAAAATATAATCAAATTTATTTTAATATTTTAGTAATGTAATTAATTTTTTAAAAATTTACCAGCTTTTTAATTTTTAAATTTTAATTATAAGCAAGTTAACATTGGTTAAACTATCGGATTACCTGTTGATTTTCGAAAATATAACTACAGAATATTTATTACAAGCATGATCAATCTTGCCAGTTTTTAAGCCCTAAATTTGCCAAAATCAGTGATATTTGTTACCCAATGTCATTTCAGTTAACTAATTATTAAACTATGTATCGAAGTTGCGGAAAAAAA